CAATCAGCGGCACCCATGCCTGACGTCAATCTGCACTTCCTGACACTCTGTTTCAGAAGCCAAATACCACTGAGCGACCTGGAGCTGGAGGAAGCCTTTGGGGTTAAACCATTTGAGAGTGATTTAAGCCCTTAAAGGAAAGCGAGCAACGAGGGGCTTCCTGGCATCATAGCATTTCATTTAGGTGAAGTTGTTATGGTGACCAGAATGGTCCTTTAATTTGCTTAAAGGAACACTATAGTGTCAGGAATACAAACATATATTCCTGACACCATAGTTGTGAAAACGCTATTCACCCTGGCTTTATGTGATAATGGCTATGCCCCTTCCCTTTAATGACACTGTCAAAAAGGGGCCAAGCATGGATGTCATTACAATTATGCCCCCCCCTGGAAAAATTCCTGTGGACGCCCATGCACATGCCCCTTCCCAATCTTGTGGTAACTCCGAATAAGTTTTCTTACCACAAATCCAGTATAAATTTGCTGGGGCTTTCCAACTAGATGTAGCCGATAAGTCAAACCATACCTCCTTTAAATGAGTGTAATTGGCAAACGGATTAGTAGGTTCCGAGACATTTGAAGCTGACCACCAAGTAGTATTTTTAGTATTAACATTATAGGCTTTTTGTCCCAAGCAAGTTAGCTCACCTACAGACGTGTTATACATTGTCCCTTTCCTGGCTATACAAACATGACCTATAATGGAGGTTTTTAACCACCATTCCGATTTACTTCTAGTACTTACTTGATGATCAGACTGGAAAGGTATCTGTTGTTCATATGTCTCAGAGCCAGGGTACCATATTTCCTTTGCCTCCCATGGCCACTGGTCTCCCATATTAGTACCTCCACACACATAGCAATTAGTTACATTAAGACTACCCGCAATACTCTCAGCCAAATCAATAAATAGGTTCTTAACATTATGGGGAATTTTATCCTCAACACTCATCTCCTCATAGAAGGAATGAGAAACCTTATGAGTTTGAGTTGCCACTGTCTCAGTTTCAAGACCTACATATATTATTATTCCTGGATCTACTCCTGTGCCATATATTTGGAACCCAAACAGACCTCCGAACCTGTCAATAAAATGCTGCAGATTGGAAATGGTCATGTGAACGGGGTTACACACATAGTTTTACAGTATGGTGTGGTAGGCAACCTTTGGATAATCATATCTTGATCCACTGTTTTTCCCCAGGTTGCCCAACCTACACATGACCAATAGGGCAGAGGTTAAAGTCTCTATTTGGGCAATCAGGATCAGTAGATCTTTTACTGGGACATAAGAATTTATCATTAAACCCATAAATTCATTCCCATTTAAGATTACCACATACATTCCAAAGTCTTCCACTACCCGAAATTGCCTTACATGCATCAAATAATAGAATACCCGTGGAATGTATGGTGCTTATCACAGTCCTATTTATTAATGTCCCCTGGGAGTTACTATTCCGAATTACCAACCAAATTGTACGGGGTTGGAATTGGGGATCAAAACATTTAGACTCTCCTGATATTGGCTTGCACACACTATAATCAATATCCAAATATCTACATTTAGATACAGATCCCTTACATTCATACTGTGAGTGCCAGATGAGAGTTTGGGATATTTGGTTACCTGTTTTAGTAGTCTTAATGCAACTATCGCAATTCGGTATGTCTGTACTCCTACCTTCCTGAAAAGACACATAATAAAACACATTATTCCTGAAATCCTCATTTTTCTTCGACCATGCGATGGCCTCTCAGCTTCCCGATTGTTAGGGCTGCAAGGATGTTGTTCTTCTGATCCTCACTTTCCTTCACAGAGATCCCTTCGAGATACGTAGGCAGGTGGTCAGGCTTTATTATGGCCGTCAAAACACCTACTTGATTATCTCTGTAGACTTTTAACTAGAATGTCTCGATATCCCCTCGTCCTTTTTCTCACGACATGTTCAATCCAACTGGGTTATGCGCTTCAACCGGATCCTGCAAGGATTTTCAGGATCTGGAGTAGCTTGCCAAGAGTCTGCCGCTGGTTTAACCTTAGAATGATGAATCCAAGGAGTCACTTCCGCCAGCTTTACAGCTGTTGGGGTAGATAAAAGAACAACATACAAAGGCTAACAGGATACACCCCGAGCTTTAACTCAATATGTATTGGTGGGATATTACGAGCAAGTCCTGGAGGATTATTTTCTGCCCATACTGGAATGTCAAATAAGGATTCATCACTCTTAGGGTTAACACTTGTCACTATGGAATAGAAGCGTCATTCTTCTTCCCTTGGCACCGATATCGCCATTATGCCTGGTAATCCCTTAAACTTCAGAGATGTTGATCCATTAGGTAAAAGGTTATCTGAGCTTAAAGCTTCGATAATAGATCTCGTCCTAAAAGTTGAATCGGACACTCTGGCATATATAGGAACTGATGCTTCACCACATGGCCTCCCAGAATACAAATGCGACTCTTAAGAACCGGTCTAGCTGCGCTTCTCCCAGTAGCTCCTATCACAGTTATAGTCTTCCCCGAAGGCGGAGCCACCATCTTAGTCACCACAGAATGTTCAGCACCTGTGTCGATCATGAAAGAACTTCTCTTTCCCCCTATTGCTACATCGACCATAGGCTCCGCTTCACCAAGTGGGATGGAGCCCGGTCGGTATCAATAGTCTTCCATGATAGTATCAGCCAGACCCACAAAATCTCTATCCTCTCTTTTTCTAGGTCTCTGTCTCCTTGAACACTTCCTCTACTATTCCCACCATTCCCTCTAAAACTTCCTCTTCCTCTATAACTACCACTATAACCTCCTCGTACCCTTCCCTATAACCTCCTTGTCTATCACCTTCATACTGCTCTCTCTGTGGACACTCACTCTTCGAATGTCCCTCCTTTCTACAATACGCACATTGATTCCTACTTAAAGGTCCCTTGGTCAGCCTATTCTCGTCTCCTCTATTCACTTCCCTGTCTTTCTACACTTAAGATAGCTACCGCTAGCATATCTGCCTTTTTCCTCATCTTACGTTCCTCCTCCCGCTTTACCTCCGTCTCCCTATTCATATATACTGTATTTGCAATCTCCATTGGCTGTAATATGGACATCCCTACAAATCCCTCTAATTTCTGTAATTTCCTTTTAATATCACCTTGGGCCTGGCTGACAAATGCTGAGTCTATCATTCGGAAGGTTTCAGGGGCTTCAGGATTGAAAAGAGTGTACAATCTATTTGACTCAAGCAGTCTCTCATAAAAAGCACTAGGTGACTCATCAACCTTTTGCAACACCTCAGCCGTCTTTGACATATTAATTGCCTTCTTCCCTCCTGCCTTCATGCCAGCAATTATGGCTTCCCGATAAGCTCTTAGTTGGGGCATGTCAGCACCATTCACGTTCCAATTTGGATCGACATTTGGATAATAGAAGCAACCAAATCTGTCATAACTTGAGGTTTGTCAGTATATGAAGAGTTATGAGTCTTCCAGTTAAATAAATCAGTCGTAGTGAAGGGGAGATATAAAAACACTGGATCTGCCCATTGTATTTGGCCATTCTCATCCACGTGTGTTGGGCCTGATGTAAGTCTGAGGGGCATTTGGTAATGTCTGGATGGAAGGGTGCCAGTCAGTTGTCGGGTTAGTATGGGACTTCGGCAAGGCTGCTCAATAATAGGTTCCAGTCTGGGAGTAGTAAAATAGGTGTAAGGGGGTGAGCTAATTTTATTAGTCAGCATTTGGTGGATGAAAAACATTTTTTTTTTAAAGAAAGTGTTAAACCAAAAACCTACCAGTGAAACAGAGAGGGTAATTGTATCAAAATAATCTTTATGGGTCTAATAATAAAACTTAACTTTTAACATATTTATACATAAAATAAAACCTTATAGCAATAAATATATTAAAATACGGTAAGCAATCCTACATCTATCTGTTATAAACAATGTATTATCAATGTAACTCCCGAAGATGGCCAGTAGGTGGCCCTAGAGTGCCTCCCTAAAGTCTAATGAGGCAAATAGACTTTAATTAATTATGTCCCTATTTTATTATTACTTATTTTAATCACTGTCCACCCTGATATCTAGGCTTGATTAAATCTTTAGTTCTAAGGTAAATTAAACATTTCAGTTTGTATTTTAGTAAAAGGGGACATTTTGGACAAAGCTGGGAGGGGCCCATCCAGTAACTAAAAAAAAACAATATACCATATTATACCATTGATCATTGATTAGGGGGAGGGGTAGTACAGAAATACAAGAGTTTGAAACACAGGAACAGATAGGTATGTGGGTAGGCGGGGACAGTAGAGCAGGGGGAGTGCAAATACTGACTATACCAGTTTCTAGCTTGGGAAGAAGAATAGGGGAGTAGCTACTCTGGCTCTGGAGGATGAATAGGGGGGTTGGTAATCAGATGCCAGGGGGGAGGGGATGTCCAAAGCAGTTGTAATCAGTGGCGTACACATGACCCATGGGGCCCCGGTGCAAAAATTGATCCGTGGGCCCACCCTCCACCCCCCCGCGCTTACTCGGCGCGGGTCGGGGTCGCAACACATGGTGGCGGGCACCTGGTCGCAGGGGTTGCAGGGCTGCGACCCCGCGACCGCGGCATGCACACACACTTAAAAGACCACTACAGACACCCAGATCACATCAGCTCAATGAAGTGGTCTGGGTGCCAGGTCCCTCTAGTTTTAACCCTGCAGCTGAAAACATAGCCGTTTCAGAGAAACGGCTATGTTTCACTGAGGGTTAATCCAGCCTCTGGTGGCTGTCTCATTGACAGCTGCTAGAGGAGCTTCCGCGATTCTCACTGTGAAAATCACAGTGAGAAGACACTGAACGTCCATAGGAAAGCATTGAGTAATGCTTTCCTATGGGCGGTTTAAATGCGCGCGCGCCTCTTGCCGCGCATGTGCATTTCGGAGCTGAGTGGCGGACACTGGGGAGTCCGACGCTGGAGAAAGGTAAATGCTGAAGACACACACACACACTCTCACGAACAGACACATACACACTAGCTAACAGACACACACATTTACTGACAGAGACACACTCAGCAACAGACATACATACACACTCACTTACAAAACATACACTTTCACTGACAAACACACACTCACTAACAGACATCAAACACACTCAGTAACAGACACACACAGTAACACACTCACTAGCAGACACACACCCAATAACAGACACATTCACTGACACACACACTAACACAAAAAACACTGACACTAACACACACTAACACACACACACTCTAACACACATACACTAACACACACTAACACACACATACACTAACACACACACTAACACACACAAACACACACATACACTAACACACACATACACTAACACACACAAACACACACATATGCTAACACACACACTAACACACACATACACTAACACATACACTAACACATACACTAATACACTAACACACACTAACACACATACACTAACCACACACTAACACACATACACTAACACACACATACACTAACACACACTAACACACACATACACTAACACACACCTACACTAACACACACTAACACACACATGCACTAACACACACACACACACTAACACACACAAACACACACATACACTAACACACACTAACACACACATACACTAACACACACATACACTAACACACACAAACACACAAACACACACATACACTAATACACACATTTTTTTTTTCAAATGTAATCCCCCCAGCCTCCTTACCTTTTGGAGTCCTGGGGTCCAGTGGTGCTGCTGGGCTCCTGGGCGGGTGGCCGGTCGGGCAGGCGGGCGCGCGAGGAAGCACTGAGTGCAGCGCTCACCTTTGAGACCGGCCACCTGCCCGCTGGGGTCAGCAGGGCCAGCCTCGGGGGACCCTGGGGTGGTCGGCTCCTGGGCCCCCCAGGAGAAAAGGCTGGCCCTGTGGGTACATACCGGGTCACAGGGACGGCCGGGCCCCCTGGTGGGCCGGGCCCGGTCGCAGCCGCGACCCCTGCGACCCTGGTATGTACGCCACTGGTTGTAATTAAGACCTTAGTTCTGACCACCATATGGCTACATTGTTTCTCATATGACACAGTTTAACTCACCAAGGCAGTTTTTCAACAATCAGTTTCCAACAGTCAATATATAGAAACTGATCATAGAATTCCGGCCTACTAGTTACAGCCACATGTACACCCTGCACTAAATTTAAGTGAAGACTGCTACATGGAGGCCATGCGGCCACCAGGACAGGCTACTCCCTACTTTTTTTTTTTTTTTAAAACATACAAGACAAAGGACCAACAGCCTTGTGAATCAGAAGATTATTTCAACAGAACGTCTGATTCAAAAAGCTGTACAAATATACACACAGTTTCAACAGTCACACCAATCTCCTTATCACCAGCACCACATCGCACAGTCACTAGGCCCAAACACACACATGCACGCACACACAGGATCCTCACATGCTCAACAATATCACGACGTCTCACACACAAAATTAAATCAAAAACCCACCAAAGACTATACACTTATCAATGTAACTATTATTCAAACCATATAACTATCCACGCTATTAATCCATATAAACTAACCGATCACATAACATTTCAACAATTTCATCACTACAATTATCCGTACTATAAATCAATTTTTGACTAACCAACTATATCACATTCTAGTAACCTCATCTTTACAGTCAGTGGTTATGGTACAGTTAGTAAGTGGTTATAATACAGTTTTAAAGTCACAGATCAGTTAGTAACAGTTATGGTATTATACATATAACATAAAACAGCAATTGTTAGTAATTTTTACACAATGTCAGTGGTTATGGTACATGTCAGTAGTTATGGTACCGTGCGCTATTTTACAGTTATACACACAATTTACACTCCCACTAGACAGCAGAGCTCTAACTTTCTAGTAGGACATACAAGTTAACCAATTCACCAACTACAATATATTTAACAACATTTACAATAATCCCAACTATTCTAACTGGCCAGCACCTCGAGAGCTTTCGATCTATTTATACACCAAAGATTCGATAAGTTCTTTGCTGCCCAGACACCACGTATAGCGAACTAGAGGGCAAAATTTACACCAATACCCTTTTAGTCTATGAAACTATCAATAATCTACAGGGAGTGCAGAATTATTAGGCAAGTTGTATTTTTGAGGATTAATTTTATTATTGAACAACAACCATGTTCTCAATGAACCCAAAAAACTCATTAATATCAAAGCTGAATATTTTTGGAAGTAGTTTTTAGTTTGTTTTTAGTTATAGCTATGTTAGGGGGATATCTGTGTGTGCAGGTGACTATTACTGTGCATAATTATTAGGCAACTTAACAAAAAACAAATATATACCCATTTCAATTATTTATTATTACCAGTGAAACCAATATAACATCTCAACATTCACAAATATACATTTCTGACATTCAAAAACAAAACAAAAACAAATCAGTGACCAATATAGCCACCTTTCTTTGCAAGGACACTCAAAAGCCTGCCATCCATGGATTCTGTCAGTGTTTTGATCTGTTCACCATCAACATTGCGTGCAGCAGCAACCACAGCCTCCCAGACACTGTTCAGAGAGGTGTACTGTTTTCCCTCCTTGTAAATCTCACATTTGATGATGGACCACAGGTTCTCAATGGGGTTCAGATCAGGTGAACAAGGAGGCCATGTCATTAGATTTTCTTCTTTTATACCCTTTCTTGCCAGCCACGCTGTGGAGTACTTGGACGCGTGTGATGGAGCATTGTCCTGCATGAAAATCATGGAAGGATGCAGACTTCTTCCTGTACCACTGCTTGAAGAAGGTGTCTTCCAGGAACTGGCAGTAGGACTGGGAGTTGAGCTTGACTCCATCCTCAACCCGAAAAGGCCCCACAAGCTCATCTTTGATGATACCAGCCCAAACCAGTACTCCACCTCCACCTTGCTGGCGTCTGAGTCGGACTGGAGCTCTCTGCCCTTTACCAATCCAGCCACGGGCCCATCCATCTGGCCCATCAAGACTCACTCTCATTTCATCAGTCCATAAAACCTTAGAAAAATCAGTTGAGATATTTCTTGGCCCAGTCTTGACGCTTCAGAAGTCTTGGTTTCAGGTGGTCTTCAGTGTTTCTTAGTAGCCTTTCTTACCTTGGCCATGTCTCTGAGTATTGCACACCTTGTGCTTTTGGGCACTCCAGTGATGTTGCAGCTCTGAAATATGGCCAAACTGGTGGCAAGTGGCATCGTGGCAGCTGCACGCTTGACTTTTCTCAGTTCATGGGCAGTTATTTTGCGCCTTGGTTTTTCCACACGCTTCTTGCGACCCTGTTGACTATTTTGAATGAAACGCTTGATTGTTCGATGATCACGCTTCAGAAGCTTTGCAATTTTAAGAGTGCTGCATCCCTCTGCAAGATATCTCACTATTTTTGACTTTTCTGAGCCTGTCAAGTCCTTCTTTTGACCCATTTTGCCAAAGGAAAGGAAGTTGCCTAATAATTCTGCACACCTGATATAGGGTGTTGATGTCATTAGACCACACCCCTTCTCATTACAGAGATGCACATCACCTAATATGCTTAATTGGTAGTAGGCTTTCGAGCCTATACAGCTTGGAGTAAGACAACATGCATAAAGAGGATGATGTGGTCAAAATACTCATTTGCCTAATAATTCTGCACTCCCTGTAGTGGCTGGATTTACAACAGAGCACACTTAGTTAAGATAGGGTGAAATCTAGCAAACTATAATATACAACAGAGAATGCAAAAATTCCGCCGATCTCCCCGACCTAACAACCAAAATTTACACCCAGCATGTTAGTCAAGGCAGGACATCGGTGTCCGACATGAGCTATTTACACCAGAACTCAGTCTGACAAACCACCTATATTAGACGGGCTGACTACAGAGCGTCTAATTTCCAGATAAGCAGTGCGCCTTTGCTTCTTCCTTCGAAATTGAAGGGGCCAATACCAATAACCGGTTTCAAATATAAAACCCCTTGTGGGTCTACCGCTCTAACGGTATCAATCTTACCTGTTAGTTCTTGGACCTGGGTTCACTCATAGACGGAACAATCCGGGACTCACTGCGCAGAAGCCGATGATCTCCTGGACAAAAGGCCAGTGGCGCCGAGACGAAAGGAGGTCCACGCAGTAGAAGTCCAGGATTATAGCGTAGAAGGTTTGGTAAAAGTTTACCGTCTCAAATCTCTGCTTCCGTGCGATGAGGTTCCCGGCTGCCAATGCACCAGAAATGTTGCAGTGTAAGCATGCAGAAGCCAAACACAGAGATATGGACACAAGTCTTCAGGAAGTAAGAGGCCTTTATTCACATTACCGATCGGGTCTCAGATGAACTCCTGTTCCAAATGATCTGAGGGGCAAATACCTGTGGCTTGGGACTTTTGTTAACTGCATATCTCCTCCCATACAGTATAACCCCTCTTATATTCCTCAGACCAATCAGTGAGCAGAATATAAACTTGTACATCTAGTCAAACCACATGGCTCATGCAAGACAAAGGAAATAAGTGCAATTTCAGTTCCTGCATTCCTGCACATGCTCAGTACACTGATGACAGTATCCTAGCTACGTGTAGCTAACTAACTGACACAACATACACATATGCCACATGGAGATTTTGGCCTACTAAATTTTGACCATGCTGGAATCCCATCACAATACGTCTCCTGTCTCTGTGAGCAGTAGCTCCAGGAAGACATCTCACAAGACCACTATTGCCCACCTCCACACCTCTTTTGATAGAATCCCCCAACAACAACTGCTTTCTATTAGGCCTCAGCATAGTCTCCAAGCCTGTCTCCACAACACCACTACCCTCGGTGCCTGAGCCTGTCTCCATAACACCATCACACTCTGAAAGTGCAGAATATTAATTATGTAGAGCAACAGACTGTGCAATATGCCTTTTATCCACAACTCTGTCTACCAGATCCTACAGTAATCCATCTGCCATTCCTACTATGTCTCTGTGGCAGTGGCTTTGCAGCAGTTCCAGCCTGAGTTGGTTTACCAGATAATTTACAAATCTCAGACTTCAAGAATACAATCTCCTGCCGCAAGATAGAGAACTGTCTACAGATTAGACAACAACCAAACCTCCAAAAAGTGGAACGTGAAACAAATGCATAGCAACTATTATACTGAACTAAGTCTGCCAT